TTTATGTATTAGGTGCAGAGTCTTGCCTTGCAGCTCACACTGTAGTCTCTGGCTGACTTAGCGCACCTGGGGGCAGGGCCAAGTGCAGCGTGTGGTGCTGGGGATTGAACCTGGGTCCTTGTGCTTGCCAAGTAGGTGCTTAGACCTCTGAGAGATCTCCCTGGCCAGCAGTGTTAGTATCATCAGCAATAATGTTATTATCTTATTCATACATTTTTAAAGAGAATAAAAAATCAGTAGACATGATACAGAATTTCACTACACAAGATGATAGGAATTCAACAAAGATTGTTATGCTGCATAATGTCTTCAAATTAGTTGTCCAGGTTGCTAGATATAAGTGTGCGGAACTGGTCAAATTAAAGAAAGTTTGCAAAAAAGAAAAAAAACAAAACTTTAACTATTGCTTTCAGTAGACCAGTAGAAATCAGGAGTACAATTATCCCAGCTATCCTGTGTATGTACATATATGTTTTTCCCTTCTTTCTATTTTTCTCACCTATTTAAAAAAAACCATGAGAGTAAAATAAAAAGAAACAAAAGGCTGCTATTGAGAAATTAGGGCTTTTATCAAGATGTACCTCAAATTGTGTCTCAAGTCATCAAGGGAAGTGGGGTTGATGTCGTGGTACAAGATTTGCAGGATAACACGTGGCGCCATTAGAGAGTGGGTCTGGGGCTTCCTGCACTTAAGCCTGTGTGAGTTATTAATCAGTGTAATGGTAACTCTGTGTACTTAAGATAGAGCTCATAAGAATTAAACCAATTAGGCACCGGCATTCTTTGTGTTGCCTACATGACAAATTCCTTTAGTCCATGGTAGAATTTTGTATTTTAAGAAGTACTCTATTCCATCAGGAATTTGGATTAAGTACTGTGCTTCTCACTGTCAGATTTTATTTTCATGTCATGCTTTAGTCCTACAAAGTCCTAAGAATCAAAATGAATAAAATAATATGTTGATTTAATTTTAAGGAAATAAAAATCTTTTTTTAAAAAATGTATTTGGTACAGGGTCTCACTATGCAGCTTGGACTCTTAGTGATCCTCCTGTTCTCCGCCTTCCCAGCACTGGGATTACAGTCGTGTACCACCACAGTGACCAGCTCAGCATGTCTGGGGGCAGGGCTGGTCTAGCATGTGGTGCCGGGGATAGAGCCCTGGTCCCTGTGCTTGCTTAAGCAGGCACTTAGTGTGCTGAGCTATCTCTCTGGCTCTTAAAAAATCTTTCTTTTTATTACCTAATTGTTGCTACTGTGTATGCTTTCACTGATTATGTCAAACAAGTGAATATACACTAGTTAAATGTGCAAGGGATAAACTTCAATTATTAAAAAGAGAATGTGGAGGCCAGGGAGATGGCTCAGTGGAATAAGTGCTTCCCTGGCAAGCACACAGGCCTGAGTTCAATCCCCGGTTCTGCCAAAAAAAATAAAAAAATAAATAAAAAATAAAAAAAATAAAAAGAGAATGTGAAAATTTTAATCTGGATTTATAGGTGCATTTTGTTGTTTTTGTTGTTTGTTTTTTAAGATCATTTAAAAACTAGTACTTGTTTCGTCTCCCTTGTTCCTGGTGCTGTACTGCTAGGAGTCTTTTGAGGGGTGGTGTCTTACATATTCCATTGGTATAGCTCATGACATAGGGGATGTAAAGGGTTGGAGAGTGGACTTGGATTGGGATCAGGTGGGAGAAAAATGAACACGGATGAGTGGACTAGAAATCTTAGTCCTGCCTTCTACCCTGAGAAAGGGAGAGGGACTATCCACTGGGGTCCCCTATAAGTACTTCTAAATGAGAGATTTTGTTGAGTTTCTGGGTCAGTGTTGATAATCACAACAAAAAATTTGAGATGTCCTAAAGTTAATTACAGGGCTCCAGAGGATGGAAGATAGAGGAGATACAGAAAGTAGGAGAACTGCTTGTCTCTGGAAAAGATACAGCATTTGAGGTTAGAGGTAGTGGTAGGAAGCAGACAGTACAGAATCCCACATAGTTGTACAAAGACTGTACACCTTTAGGGAATAACCCAGCTCTGACAGCATCATTCCTGACTAAGAGAGGGCTGGAGTTACTACTCCTGATAGTGTAGTAACTGTGATTCGGATGAAGGAGTGCTTTATTTTTTTCAGAATAGGAAAAAAAAGTGTATTTTAATTAAATGTGAAAGTGCAAGTTGAATACTCCCAAAAGATGGGTGGAAAGGAAATAAAAAGGACTACTAACTGCCATTAAGCTCTGTACCCCACAGACTGGTCAATCAAAACTCATGCAATTATACTGCCAGGCAGTTATTAAGTGCCTTACCTGCTTTATAAATTACTAACTCTAGACATGACTCTGAGCTCTCCAACTGGCCTTATAAAAAGAGTACTGGTGTGCAGAAATGTTTCAAATGTGGCAAGTGTTCAGTGAGAAACAGAATGCTCAAACAGACTGTGTGGTGGGCAGTGATCTCTGTAAACATCAGTAAATTATCCATGAACTTGGTGGGATTCATACCCGGGAGCAGGCCCAGGGAAGGCAGCGTCCTCTCCTCTGTGATCATGGCAGAGGTGAAGCCGAGCTGACATTTCCCCGGTGACATGCTGTGAAGTAAGGCCCTCTGTGATCATTTTATTTTTTTAAATTAATTTTATTGAGAAAGAAATAGCAATGAGACAGTTTTAAAACAGGTTAGGACAGTTACACTAATTAATATATTGCTTATTGTTGTCTTTGTAGTAGTTATTCATAGCACAAGATGCTGAAATGATATTTTGTCTAAACACTACTAGTACAAATC